CCCCCCCCTCCAACATTTAAATTGTTACTTAGTTGGAGTAAAATAGGTAATGGTACAAGTACTGGTGTAAGACATTGTGTAGCCTAAATAATAAGAGAACCAGTATTCAAAATGTTTGTAGTTACTCCGACTCCTATCATGAACTGCATATACGTAATAGACTATCGTTATTCATAACAGTATATTAATTCACCTTGTATTCAATAAGCAAGTACAGAACATTTAACAAAATGTGCTCGCTTCCACAAGGCATATAAGCGACAAACGTGCAAAGTTGACCACCATGTGTTTTCCTATGAATATGCCACCCATAAATATTATGCCACATGTGGGCTATATTTTCCCCTTGGAAAATAAAAACACGTTGGCTACGGTATATATACTGTAATAATGTTTATGAGTTAAAATGATTTTTAAATATTAAACCCCATACCTATCTTTAAATCTCCATTTATTAAATGACTTGGTTATTTTCACAATGCACCATTTGTAATGACGTGTTTATTGCGTTTATATTGTTTATATAAAGTTTACCGCACTTGAAATACCGCTGACTTGTACGTATTGCAGTTGCAGATTTGTACGTATCTTGTCTATGATATAGTGCCGACCATCGAAAGCTAGTAATACAAAATAAACGCGATGTTTCCACAAATACTTCAAACAAATATATTTCCGGCATGCAATCATGCAAGCCTTTCGCGGCGAAATTGAAACCTATCCACTATATAGGCCTATATATATTGGTTAATTATATTAAATTAATTAAGAGTATATTAAATGAGTAGCCTATATAGTTTAGTGTCCCCTTACACTCGGGACCTCGACGAAGAACAGTCCGTTAATGGTGGTTTCGAAAACGAAGACCTACGAAAACGAAGACCGAAGACCTAAGATGGGTCTTCGTAATTACGAAAACGAAGACCCACTACGAAAACGAAGACCCATCTTTGTTTTCGTACTACGAAAACGAAGACCCTAAAATATTTATTTACATTGTTTTCGCGAAAATAAGCGTAAAAGTGTCGCGAAAAATTTCCGATAAATTGCTGGAAAAAATTAAGGAATAATAATATGTTATGGTATATATGTCAATATGATCACAGAGTAGAGACATACAGAGACGTAACTAGTGTACCCACTTTTTTGTGCGCATGCTCGGCAAGTTACTAGATGCATGCATCTGATTGGATGACGACCTGATGACGACTCACTTTAAACTTGCTGAGCACGCGCAGTTGATCATTTTTCGCCCGGTCGCCTGAAAAAAAGTGGGTACATGATAACGTAATCTTCCGCAGTGTTTACAACGGTCAGTTACGTCTCTGTATGTCTTATCTACTCTGTGATATGATCAAGGAAAATACGATTCAGCAATAAAAATAGAATCACTAGAAACCTAAACCAGTATTCAGTAAATCACTCAAGTATTTTTAATATAGTCAAAGGCAAACATCAGACAAGTAACTAAATAATTTTAAAATGTAAAATGTCAACAACAGAATGTCAGAATTACAATTGCAAAATTTACAATGTTAACAAATATTCGACATGTATTTATTTAATTGCTGTACTACTGTCAATGTCTGAGCAAATCAGTTAAGTTTGAATCAGTAATACCACGGTCAATAGAACCACCAGAGTACGTACATAGTACACACAGATGTCTCAGTGATTCAAGTTAATTTAGCGTAAGGGATTTTTCCAGTATACGCCGTGTTCTTAGGAAGTGCCCTAACGAGAGGTATAGTCAACCCCCTGAAAACATATTGAAATTTAAACGCTTATTTTCGCGAAAACAATGTAAATAAATATTTTAGGGTCTTCGTTTTCGTAGTACGAAAACAAAGATGGGTCTTCGTTTTCGTAGTGGGCGCGAAAACAATGTAAATAAATATTTTAGGGTCTTCGTTTTCGTAGTACGAAAACAAAGATGGGTCTTCGTTTTCGTAGTGGGTCTTCGTTTTCGTAATTACGAAGACCCATCTTAGGTCTTCGGTCTTCGTTTTCGTAGGTCTTCGTTTTCGAAACCACCAGTTGCGGTGTGCTTGCCATGTTTATAAAAATGTTTAATAAGACCAAAGATTGTCGATTTTGATATGTGAAGATATAGCTATATCTTCAACATTTATTCCTTACCTTAATTAAACAGAAAACATTGTTTTCAGCATCGCATACAGTATAACATAGTACTCGTACCACAGGCATTAAAATACGGAATTTTTACAAGGACACACTTTGCCTTCAGAGGCGTATTTTTGGTATAAATGGCGAAGCCACAAGTTTAGCGTCAAAGACGCGAGCTTTTACGGGGTCGCTGAAATGGCATTTCCAGAGTTCTGAGAACAGAATTTGCAAAATCTTTGGCCATTTTGCGTGGATTACATTAATATATTTTCAGTTTAATATATTTTCAAGTGCACACTTTTCAATTTACAAGGGCACATTCGCCTTTTACAAGGACACAAAGTGTGTACAAGGACACGCTATTTTAATGCCTGGTTGCAGGATTTGAATGTTGTATTGTCATGTGTATTATTCAAATAAAATTGTATTGTATTACGTCAGGAAGCTTTGAAGTTTCTGTCCTCGCGCATGTCGCATTACGCATGTTGGCCGCCATTTTCCTAGCCAGTCAATGTCATTTTCTGGCCAATAAACACGTTGTACTGGCTGGCTGCTCCGCCTTCTGGCCAGTACACTGTATATTTTTGCATAAAAAAACGAGGACACGTTGCACCGCTTAGTGGCCCTTCTGTTACTGATGAATTGATCTTCATTCCGTGGCCCTGCTGGGGGACGACAAACAATGCCACGAATTTTAACACACTGTATTACAGCATAATGCAGTCTGTACACAGGCTAGGTCACTACAGGGTGTGTCAAAAAAGTGCACAGTTCTAAAATGCCCGCTAAACTGAAAATTCCGCAACATTTTTTACAACTTTATGTTAGTATGGATAGTTTGGGGACTTCTGGTATCTTTATCACAAAATTATTCTGAAGAGTAGATTTTCGGCAGCAGGGCTGTTGTTTGAAACCACTTAAAAATGGCTTGCACATAAAAAATGATTGGTTTGAAACGCGATTTGAATTCATAGGGTGCAAATATAGAAGGTGTTTTGTGCATAAAACAAGAACAACAAAAGAATATCATGAGAATATCTATTGTATTTGAAGAGTGTTTTCTTCCAATATGGCTGCCATATCTTTCTCTTTTATAAATCTCAAGGGAATAAGGGATTGATTGCAAACATAGAAATTTAAGTTTTTTAGCTTTGCTTAAACAAACAAACAAACAAACAAACAAACAAACAAACAAACAAACAAACAAACAAACAAACAAACAAACAAACAAACAAACAAACAAACAAACAAACAAACAAACAAACAAACAAACACCCAGATTTTCGTATCTCGAAAGTCACAAGTCTTAATTTTTTCAAGAAAATTGGAATTGCATCTCCCTACAAATGGACACCAAAACGACAGTGCAAAGTTACCGAAACAACAGTATTGGTGTTATAGATGTTAACATATTATATATAATAATAATATGTAGCAAACCCTCTGTACTGTAGACGTCATTTAAGACTAAACCACGGGCTTTAGGACCAATGTAATTTGACAACATAGTATCCTATATAAAAAATAAAGTGTACGGCTCCTGAACTGTTCAATATCTTGCTTGACACAGCTTCTATAAATCCATAAATACATTTACATGTTATGCAAATACTGTAATAAATATTTTCAAAATCCGCCATATTTATTTACATTAGAACCCAAGCTTCGGGCTCACACGAAATATTATATACGTCGGTGATTTTCACTAATAATAAGAGGGTAAGATCATCCAATTATTTCATCGTTCGAAGCGAGAGGAAACCATGCTTCCATATATGGCACAAACATGTCCCCAACTTCCTTATATGGTACAAACGTGTCCCCAGAATCAGTTATCGCGGCTGTTATAATGTCATAAGATTCCTCACGCTCGGAACGATTTAACAGGTCACGTGGTACAGAACCCAGACAGCTGATTGGGTTAGCGACTGACAACGCCCACTTTGATCCTGCCCTCTTATTATTAGTGAAAATCACCGACGCGATGTTCAGGAACTAAAGCACCGTCTGCATTAGATAATTTTAGGACTAAGTCATTCAGTCTTAGGATTCAATCATTCATTAGATGAATTAGATTATTCATTTTTGGATTCGGTCATTCCTTCTTTCATTTCTACATTCAACGCATTAAAGTTGTGCATCTCAAAAATTGTACACGAACTATTGTATTAAGGAAGGGACAAATGTTGTGACTAACTGGAAACTTCATTTGCCTGATTTACAAAAAACAAGCTATCACTAGATAAAGTATTGATGCATGTAAATTATTAATCAGGCATTCAGTATTTTTGCAGGCCAGGAAAAGCAAGAAAAACTAGATGGCGCTTTCCTTCAAAATCTGCTATTTTTATAAATTGTCTGCTACCCGCGTTTATCAGACTGATAACCCAAATCGCCATGATATATTATATCATTGAATTTTCTTTAGTAAAAGCAGCCGTAATCGTGGTTTGCCTATAAATATGATGGATGACAAACATGGACCACCGATTCGTAAAAGGAGTGCGACAGCAGACTATCCACGGCCCCAGCCCCACAATATGATGAGGGAAAGAGCACCATCGGCCAAACTGGCAAACAAATCCCTCGTTACTAAAATAAACGATAAACCATCCAATCCGATTCCAGACGTGGTTCCATCTCACGAAACACAAACATCATCAGAAGTCACAAATGGAAAAAGTTATACGAAAATGGAAAATGGTGATAAAGTATCCGAGATGGCAAATGGTGAAATTAACCACACCAAAGATGTGAGAGCAGGGAAATACGAAATTCCGAGTTCTAAAGTTGACCATACAGTTGCAAAAGTCGAGGAAAGATGCGAAGCCTCAACTTCCAAAATAAATAATCCCAGTACCAAACTTGATGGTCTTGGAACAGTTGAAGACGTAAAAGTGCAAGTTCAACGCCCTGCCACTGGGGTTTCGTTAATTAGCAACGAGTCCACTAGTTCTCGCTTTACAGATGATGCAGATTTAATAACCAACCTGGAAGTCAACTTTGTGGATTCTAGAGGTAGAATTAAACGTAAATCCTCGATGAGCCGTTCCGAAAAGGAAGCCCTCGGCATCCTTGATGAGGTAATTCGAGTATTTGATGATGTCGATGACAATTTAGACGAAGCCAGCCCAAGTGAAAGCAAAACTATTGGAGTAAAACCAGACACTTCCGACTTTGATCCGTCCTATGAAACAATGGCCGATATTAAAGAAAGCCTGATGGATCGAGATGATGTGAAACCAAACGGTGTACACGACAGCAGTAACTCGAATTACAATTTAACGACTTCTACATTACAACAAAAGCACGTTGGAAATGAACTTGTGCCTCCCACGCAGCCAGAACCGGTGTATGCAAAACCCGATAAACGTGGCAACAATACTACCTCTACAATTAATCCTGACGAATTAACCACACCGCGTTCAACTGCACAAGTAGCACCTGAAAAATCTCCAGTTGTACCACCTAAAAGATTTGTAGCAGAGGCAGATAACTACGAGATCAAATTTTCTCCCTTGAGAAAAGCCTCCCCTTCGGCCTCCCTTTCTAAATCCCTTAACAATTCGATCTGGGCCAACGCAAATGAAATTCCAAGCCCTAAACGTAAACAAGTGCAGGATAACAACGATAACTTCAGTTTAAAGCGAGGTCAACTGTCAGGTCCGGTACCTATAAACATCGACGACAATTACGTGGAACCTCCGCCGGATTACGACCCAAACACAACGCTGAGTTCAATCGCTAAATCGACGACCGATGACTCGTTCATCGATACATGGGGTTCCATGACCAGTAGCTCTACAAGCGGGAGTCGGAAAGTGAAGAAGGAATTCAGACCGGAAGTACTGAAAATGATCGACAAGAAGAAAACTGAGAAAGAGGAACAGAAAGAAATCGAGGGCAGAAAGTTTGATGGCCTAGTAAACCGCTCGTTTCGAATGAGAGAAGCTTCTCTAAAGGAAACTGCCTCGAAGTCAGCCGTGAAAGAAGACACAGCAAAAGAAAGTGAAATAGAGAGCGACTATACCTCCATAAAGAATGAAGCTGATCTTTGGCTGCAAGGCTACGAACGTATGCGCGCCAGCTCTGAAGGGAAAAAGGAATTAGCCTTAAAATCAAGATCGAATAAGACGACCAAAGTTCCAATTGATAACCAGAACGAGGAGACATCCATAATAAAAGTTGAGAATGGTTTGCCATCAGACACAGTACTCCCACTGTCAGAAACTACCCAAGCAGTTTTAAATCAAACACGGGCTTCTGATGACCTGAAAATTGCAAACGACAGTCTTGCAACTGTAGCAACAATGAGCGAAGTGCGCCAAACTACAAAAAATGAAGAAAACGACTCATCCGATGACGAAGACTTGATTCGTCTCATGGAAACCGGAGTTAGTGCAGAAAATTCAACAGATTCCTCTTTTCCAAAGCCAGAACGCTTTGGATACGTGCCCCGTGCTTTGCGCATGAGTTTTGGTCAAAGCTGGGAGGGAATACGAAAAGATAGACGTGAGTGGAAATCAAAAGAAATGAAGCAAGCTACTGCTCAGTCTCCACGTAAGGGAGGCAAAAAACTCTCCAACAGGTTTGATGACCAAGAAGCACGAGTAGAAATGCTGTTTTAGAAAAACCCTTGCGTAGATATAGACAGAAGCATGAAATATATATTATATACTCCGTATACGTCTTGCAGAAATATATAGCACAAATATACTTATATATATCATCATCCTTCTAATCTCATTTCACGGTACCGAAAAGATGGCCGCTTTTTCATTTAACCAAAATTCCTTGCCTGTGCTAGTGATTAACACTGAACCTCACACAACAGGCCATTTCCGGACGGTCGAATGCTCACAGACAATAACGTGAGAGCGAGGCTTAGGTCAAAGTTGCAATGATTCTATAACTTGGCAGACTGATCATGAGCGCCATTGAGCGTAATTCATAAATGGCGTATTGTAATAGGATAATTTAACTTATGAAAAACGAAAGTTGTTACGACTGTGAACCATTTTTTTAATCTTTGCGAATATCATTTCGAAATGTTAACAAGTTTTCCGTTTTTCGATATGTTGTTATCCAGAGGTATTAAATTCTTTAAATATGCAAATCAGATATTTTTGGACGTCAAATCACAAAAGATTTACACTGAATGATAAATGTCCTAGTGAGTAATAAACACAATTACTTCACATGGAAAACAATTATCGAATTCTGCGTCATTGCATTGTTGCAAAGGTTTGTGCCATTTTGTAAATCTCTGGTGATAAATAAGATTTCTACATTGTAAGTTTGGATATTCTAAACAAGTTTACTGTTCCAAGAACGAGATGTACACGACATCGAGAAAACTAAATGCTGGTTAATTTATTTCAAAACGTTTCACAATTTAATGCTGGTTTATTTTAGAATGATGTTTCAAAGAAACCAAAAATAGATAAACGATTTTTCATCACATCGGTACAAGATGGAATTACGCTTAAATGTACCACTGCCATCGTTTTCGGTATAGTGATTGCATGTTAACAGCAACATGTTTGTCAGGTTAGAACGCTACAACAAAAAGTTTTCCAATTATTCCGCTGAAGGGTTAGCCTGCATGCAGGCTGCCGAAGGGCCGGCCTTTGTTCGAAACTTTGGAGGATTCACTTTTAACTTTTCTAGTAATGTGAAGTTTTAAGTCTTTGTGCCAAAGTTACCATGCACGAGATTTATTTACTTGCTATACTACCATTCCCAATCCGTGTAGTTGTGTCAGTTTTGGCCGTAATAAAAGGCCAACAACCAATGATTATACACTAATTGCAACCTGCATATGCAATTACAAACAAAGCCTCGATATCTGCTCATACCTATATAGAAGGTTTTACTGTACAAAATATTTCACTGTTGGGCCCATAGATATATGGTTGGCCCATTATAAGTCGTCGTGCCTGGATTATTCATTTGACTATTGCCTATATGACAACCTCAACTGAAATATTTGTATCTTCAAATATTTACCTTGCATATATATTTATCTCAAATAGTTTACCTTGCAGCAATAAGTGTCACTTGAGGCCTGAAACTATGTCTGTAAAAGATTAAACCGTCCGATTAGATCAGCCAAAACCCGCAGTCTAACACAAAATCTTACACAGAGCTGCACTTTAAGTAAAAAATCACATTTATACACTGAAAAAGCATGAGGTCAAGGGCAAGGATTTCTTTAACGAATATATAGAAATAATCCTGGACATCATCTATATACTTAATTTCATATTTTATATAGGACTGTATAGCGATAATTATATAATGATATTATATACACATTTTCAATCAGGGCCGCCGAGAGGGGGTGGGGAGGTTGGGGCAGCGCTTTTCTCGGCCCCCAGATCAAAAGCCCCCCAGATCAAAAGCCCCCCCAAGAAAGGAAGGCCGGGCCCCGCCCAACCTCTCGGCGGCCCTGTTTTCAATATGCGCGACGTGTCCACTATTATATAGATAAACGATACTTGGGACAAGGTGGAGTTGAACGCAATAATCATAATATCATTAATTAGCTGTACGTATTATTATATATGGACATTGGACGCATTTTAGAGTAATCATCAAATAACAATTTATTATCACATGAGATCGGACTCGTATACGACTGGCGATATCGTATTATAGCTTACAGCCATATATATACAGCTATTTCAATTAAGGTTGTCCCCCGAGCAAAGCGGAAAAGTCGAATACGAGCGCGAAAGGCTGCTGGGAATCGCTAATAAATTCATTCATTCCCAGCAGTCTTTCGCGCTCGTATTCGACTTTTCCGCTTTGCTCGGGGGACAACCTTAGGGACCGGTCATTATTTATGGCGGGGGTGGCATCGAAGACAAAAGGGTTGGGTAAACAAAATTTTGAGTGAGTAAAAGGTTGGGGTATTTATTTTTTTGTTTATATTTGTTTATATTTATACTTTTTAATGGTTGGATCAGCAAAATGTTTACCAAGAAAAACATTTCTCTTCGGTGCCACCCCCTGCCATAAATAATGACCGGTCCCTTAATTGAAATAGCTGTATATAATGAGAGCGAATATAGTTTGTTTAATAACATAGACTAACAATGTATTCATAGTCATAGAATTTAGGAATCATACAAAAGAGACCAATTGTTTCCGCGATGTGACTCTTTTTGTTTCCAAAAATTACTTTATGTGACATAAGCAGCACACAAGAAAGAGAAAATACTGGCACGACCAAACAAACAGACTAAATTTGGAAATCCGTTGTCTACATTATATATACAGTTAATTAAAAGAGCGTTTTATATGCAAAAGTCAGTCGACTTTTGAAACCATGTCGGAATAGTATTCGCCAAATCAACCAATAGCAATGTTTAATCCATTGAGCTCCGCGCTCTCCCCTTGCCGAGTAAATAGTCTGGCGTAATTAGACATGCAGACTGGCATAAAACAATAAAGTAGGGAGCATTGGGGTGCTTCAATCGAGTTTCTATTGGAGGCTTTCATGAGGATTTCATATTGATGTATCAACCACAACGCTCCGGTGGTGTTGCCGATATGCTAGAAAAAGGCTTTTTACAATGTCGTGTTATTGGTTGGACAGGAAACATAATTATTGTGTAGGTATAATTTGGTCGTCAACGAATGTGATCGCCTCGAGTGCTCAAACGACCTAGAAATTATTAAAAGATTTTGGCAAGATACGTTTCACATTAATTTTCACACCAAAAGGCATTTCGGTGTGAAACTTGATGCATATATTCAAAAATGGCGCATTCAAGAATTCAAAAAGATTCTTCACCATGCATTGTTAATTTTAGATTAATATCCAACCATTGTTCTGTCAAATATGGCGAAACCTATAATAACAGGTTTTTTCGATGTTTTGTTAGGTATTTATAATTTAGCTCCGTTCATGTTGTTGATATAGGGACCTTTAACAAGCAAGGTGATAGCCTACGTCATAGACTTTACGAGCTAGGGTCCACGTACGTATAGGCTAGCAAGATGGCAACATGACGATTATGGTTGCAGTTGTGGCAACGGAAGTACGTTCCTAAAATACTGTATTCTATTATAATTAATTTGCTCACACGAATCAATTCATTTGATGAATTCTTTAAAAACTTGACTTCTTGTTGAATGTACCAATCACCTTTGGCTTTGGTGAAAGTGCTCTCAAATACACGAAGTTCCAGATAATTGGTCAAAATCTCAAACGAATTGGTTCGTGTATAAGCAAATGAATTGACGCCGTTAGAAGTCCTTACGTCACGTCACTGTCAAACAATGAATATTTGACCCACATTGAATTGCGCATACCCATGGGCGTACCGGAAGGAAAAAATTAGGGGGGCGGAAAGAAAATTGCCCGACTTTTCGTGATTGTGCCCGACTAGTATCGAAAAATGTTTTCCGGAAAAATTATTTTTTTGATTTTGATGGTTTTACCCAGGCACATTTTGGCCTCTGCTATAAATCTTTGTTTAAATCCTTGTTGGTATATATTTATTAACTACCCCCTGCGATGTCAACCTGATAATAAGTACTATTTAAAGCACGAACAGGAGTGCTTTATCAGATATAAAACACAAGAGCACAGCTCGAGTGTTCTATATCTGATAAAGCACTCCTGTTCGTGTTTTAAATGGCTTAAAAAACGACCCATCTTATGAGTTCATTGGCGAAGTAATTTTAAAAATAAACATCGTCTAAGCCGAGAAAATCAAAGCTAAAGTTTCTGTAAATGAACATGATTTTTTATCAGATACAGGGTGTATAAAGAAAACGCAACCTTGGAATTTCCTAAGAAATCCACTTTGCAATTCTTAAGCACTTAAGATTTTAGGTTCCTGGGAATTGAAATCGAATTGCTAATAGATCATATTACTGTTGTTGTACTGTTTAAATAAATGGCATAGTACAAAACATGGACTGGACTGGCCTGGACTGGACTGGACAGTTGTTACTGGACTGATTTTTACATTTTCTCTATTCTTGACTTGCATGTCAGCCGCCATGTCAGGTGGCATAAATATTTTATCACAGAATAAATATACCATGTCATGTCTATTTTGTGATTTTATTAATGAACATTGTCTGGTGTGTACCAGGAGGAGATTGGTTTCAAGTCAAGAATATAACGTTTTGCACCTGAATTACTTTTGATTTTCGGAAATTGAAATACTTTACCTTCGCCGATGACCTCACTTTATAACTGGAGTGAAATCTCAAGAAATCCCAGTAAGGGGCCGACGATTTAACTTTTGAGGGAGGGGGGAGGGGGTTGGAGATTTACTGCTGGAAGGGAATTTTATTCTTGATATGGGGTCGTTATGTGCAAGATTATTTTCCCCTATCCCAACACCATGTACGATATTTTTTTCCACTCTCTTTCGTAGCATTTTTTTTTCAATAGCTTATACTATTTAGATTCTTTAATTAATAATAGTTAACGTTGCGTTTTCTAGCTTCATGCATTGCTTTTAATAATACATATTGCTATGAGGTATAAGATTTGGTTCAGGGCCTCTTTACGGATGTGTAACTGGAGGGGACATATTTAGCGGGGGACCTGGAGAAGTTCCAGTCGGCAAGTCTGTATCACTGCAGCTACCAGCATATATATGCATGGTTTAACTAATAAGTATACGCCATAGGGCAGCAGATCAGGCCAATATTAACTAGGATTCTGAGACAACCGAGTCGACCACCGAAGGTGCAAGCCTTTAGAGGGGTCTGGGGGCATGCCCCCCCCCCAAAAAAAAAAAAATTGTGGATTTTGTGAAGCTCAGATAAGCTATTTCCAGCATTTTCAGGAGTTTTCCAACAAGAAATTAACCTTACACTAGTCTCCGAAAATCAAACTAGCTGATCTTCTGGGACTGATCAAATCGATCCCTGCAACCATGCTGTTTTGCAACATTTTTTCCCCCACCAAATACTGGGGCAGGATATTTTTCCCCCAGTTTGTTAGTGCAGGCATTTTCTTTTGTTCAGAATAGCCTTGAAGGAAATGTTTTTTTTAAAAATCACCCCCTCCCCCATCCCCCTCAAAAGTTAAATGGTCGGCCCCTAAGTAGAATAGAATAGAATACCAAACATAAACTACTTTGTAGCCTGCTCGGATACGTATTGCCATGGTCGTAGGAAGATCTTGGGGGGGCTCAAATTCATATATTCATGTTCGCAGACCGTAAAAACAATCAAATTCAAAAGAAGTAAATGATGCAGCACACAAATATATGAATATGAGCTCCTGCCCCCCCCCCCCGCCAATTATCTATCTTTCTATGCCCATGGCCATGCAGATTGGAACATCAAAATTTAATACGTATGCGAGCAGGATACCCATAGCAAAGACAGATAAGTAGTTTATGTTTGGTATTGTATTCTATTCTATTCTATTCTACTTACTGGGGTTTCTTTCGCTTTAAGAGATTTCACTCCAGTTATAAAGTGAGGTCATCGGCGAAGGTAAAGTATTTCAATTTCCGAAAATCAAAAGTAATTCAGGTGTAAAACGTTATATTCTTGACTTGCAACCAATCTCCTCCTGGTACACACCAGACAATGTTCATTGATAAAATCACAAAATACTTGACACGGTATATCTATTCTGTGATAAAATATTCTTTTGCGCCATGCCACCTGACATGGCGGGTGACATGCAAGTAAAGAATAGAGAAAATGAAAAAATCAGTCCAGTCCAACTGTCCAGTCCAGTCCAACTGTCCAGTCCAGTCCAACTGTCCAGTCCAATCCAGTCCAACTGTCCAGTCCAACTGTCCAGTCCAGTCCAGTCCATGTTTTGTACTATGCCTAAATAAAGGCATAAATTTTGCTTTATGCACTCGCGTGTGCAGTAATTTTGACAGTTGTGCTATTTTAAATTCCCAGGCACCTAAAATCTCTTGTCCTTTAAGTGCATATGACATGAAATTTCTTATTTTCTTAAATGAAAGAACTCTTTAAGTTGTAGTGTAACCTATTTTTCAGTTTCTTGTTTTTATGGTTTGTTCCCGAGATATTTCAATTTGTTTGATATGTAAATGAGTGTGAATATGTCCGCTAATTTATGACGTCATGTTGGTTGCAAGCTCAACTTACACTCAACTTAAATGTTTTAACTCTAAAAACTGTTGATATCAGGTCACGTTTTTCTCCAGTGTTTCATCACATTTACCAGTGAGCGAAGTTTGAAATTATCATCTTGGATGATAGCAGTGATATTCAACCATTTTAAAGAGCTTGCAACCAACATGACGTCATAAATTAGTGGACATATTCACACTCATAAACATATCAAACAAATTGAAATATCTCGGGAACAACCCATAAAAACAAGAAACTGAATAATAAGTTGCACTACAGCTTAAAGAGTTCTTTCATTTAAGAAAATAAGAAATTTGATGTCATATGCACTTTAAAACAAAGTCGATTTCTTGGGAAATTCCGAGGTTGCGTTTTTTTTATACACCCTGTATAAAACCATCGACACGGCAGTGATTTTCTTTGTCTTTTCCTCATGAATTATTAATGAGTTTTTAATATAAATTATTGGCTTCGGAGGATGAGGCAATCTCGTATCCAGAGCAATGCTTGTGCACGGGCTAGGATGGCATTGGCTCTGCAGGGGAAATTGACAACCGGAACCCCTAAATTTAGGGGTTCCGGTTCTTTGTCGGCATGCACGATTGATAAACGTTAACCAATCATGCACAGCACAGGAAAAATTCCATTTCCCCAGAGCCAATGCCATCCTAGCCCGCGCACAGGCATTGCTCTGGGTACGAGATTGAGGATGAGGCTGAATTCTGGAACTCCCCATTCCCACGCGTAAATTAAAAAACTCCAGCAAAGTTGACGTTGGAAAAACACACAAAATTAAAAAAAAAATCAGGCAAAAATTGACGTTGGAAAAATACATGAAATTCCGTATTAAACGGCTCAAACTGAAAATTCCGTTTTCAAAAAAATTCTTATTCTGTTCAGTATACTAAAAATTCCATATTCCACAAAAAGTGAAAGAATTTCCCTTTCCAAAATTCCGCTTCATCCCTCGAATTAGCTGAAAAATATTCTGATTTTAAGTATAGTAGCGAGCCGGCCAATGGCAATGTCAATGAGATGAGATTGTTCTATTGATTATGAATACTTATGTGCAAAAGGTACATTAGCTTTTTTAGAATTTGCCTATATCAACTAATTGTTTGGGGACACTAGTGGATTTAAAATTCACATCTATAAAACAACTATATACCTGGATACAAAATTCTGTTTTAATTGGTATACTGTAATTCTATCTGTTAATTACATTTCGAGATTGGCCCTTTGAATCCCCAGGAATTGCATGGTCACAGACCACTTGTATAGTAACTTCAGTAGTTTTCAATTTCTTGTAAGATTGACAAATACGTTGTTCATCCATAGATATCTTATATATTCACTAGATAGTGCATCTAATTATTCTGCAATTCAAAAATTGAAGCCGTGATTGCAGACTCAGGATATTTCCATGAAATGAGAAAAGTCGTATGTTTTCTATTTCTTAAACAGGGAACTTAAACATTAAGTTAATCCTATTCCAAATACATTTTCAAACTATTCAAATATTGTTGTTTTTTAAGCGTTTATTAGCGAGTGAGAAACTTCAACATGGCCGCCATCTATTCAAATGGAGGTAAGCGTATCTATGTGTTCATCCGGTGAATGTAAAAGGCCGTGCGAAATGGCATGCGAATTACGCTGCGAATTTTAAAATGCATGTTCTTGTATTTTCACCACACGGGAAATTGTTTTAACAAATCAAAATCTGCAATCGATATTCGGTGCAATTAGTTTTTAATAATCTTAATGAGTATAATCACAAAGATGACAACGAATGCGGAATGACTGCGGAAATGGCAGGATTAGGGTAAAGATTAGGTTGGGGTTAGAGTTAACAATATGAATTAACATAATTTTATTTTTAACCTTGACTATACCTTTCTCACAAAAGATAATATACATGCAGTGCTTACACATTTGGTTTTGCCTTTGGTAACCAAAAATTCCAGTGAAGCCGGTTGACTATAAAATCCCAAGGCAATGTCTCTTCAGACAATTCTATAGACTAGGCCAATATGCATGCACTAGAGCACCTACCAAGTAAGGTTTATTAAAGGGTTTGTATTGGTCAAGAAATGGCCACACGTGGTTTCGCAATATCTGTAATTTAAATGATGCGTCGGCATGTTTTGATTGTGTAAATGACGAGTTCATGGTGTTCCGAAGTGAAGACTGTAAAGATGGGCAGAAACAAGAATGGATTTTTTGCCAAGCAATCCGAGCCAGGATCTGGAAGGTGAGTTCAATACTTCATCTAGGTTAAGTATTCCTCTGATAATGAACGAACGATTTTTCATACTAATAACTTAAGTCGAGTTGTTTTGAACAAGAGCCGATAAAGTTATAATGAATTTAGAGAACGACTTTATCAGTGCATGCGAAGCTATCAACAGCCAGGGCACTGATACAGTTATACATCAATGCAGGACGGGGAAGCGCTGGTTGTGTTCTGGTTAATATATACATATGTTGTGCATAGTATATTTCATGCGCGTCAGCCTTAAGTTGGAACTAGGTAGCTAAATTAGTATAAAAAAGGCAGAAGTTCAAATTCGTTTATAACGGCACGTTAGCAAACACGAACAAAGAGTTTTATCCTTTCCACGATCGAGGTCATGCTTTGTGATGAGTTGATGGTATGAGTTGAAGATTTGCTATGCGTTCCAATAGAATAATTTTGATTTAAGTCCTGGCTTGCATTATAATGACGAGGGATGCATTATAATGACGAGAAATAATTATGCCAATTTCTGGGGCGAATAAATGTCTGTCAATCTTCATCAAAATATCAAAATATCAAAAACTACATAATCACCTAATCTAAGACTAAGTGAACAAATTGATAAAATGTAGAAGCAATGAAGCAGCAATATACCGTTTCAAACTTAAAATAAACTTCGATTTGAACAAATTTTAGCACTATTTGGGAATAGAACAGCTTACAAATACCCGAAACTGCATTTGATACGAGACGCGAGATTGTTTACGATTGTTACGGTTCATTAAGAAACCCTTCAAACATAACCTCCATATCGGCCACTGCAAACTGCTTGATATTACGCAATCGTGCAGCTCGAGGCTGCCGAAGATTTGAGTTTGAGCCATAATAAAAATATATATCATATTTTTTGCAATATAAAAATTAGCCCTAGGGCTAGAATTACAGTGGTTTTTTTTCGAAAACGATGGATAAAATTCATTGGTTTATACAAAGCCAGTTGTTTTTCATTGAAGCAATATTCCCAGCCTTATTACCATAGCTAGAGACAATACTATAAGCACTTGACTAATTATATGGCGCTACATGCATATATAGTGTTTCCCTAAAACGGTTTGACTGCTATAAGCCAATGGTGTACGTTTCAAGCAATATTCTCAAGCCTCATTGCCATAGAATACCATAGAGACGATATTAGCACTGGTCTATGCAGGGCTTTTTATAAATATTCTAATAAAGTCAAAGAGACCATGCAGAGCGTGAGATTCTGGTATAACAACTTAAAAGAGACGTGACTGCTCGCTTGCATAGCCATATATAGTGGCTTCTTATTGTATACTGATAGGCAAAACTTCGCTGTTTTTTGGCTAAAGCGAATTTGAAGAGAGGATAAAATTCTTAGAACAAAACACTACGTAACAGAAAACAAAACTCGTCTTCTCAGAGCACGACAGAAATGCATAACTGAAAGGAACTGTACAGCGTAAAATAAAATACGTACAATGAAACAATACCGAAGAGAGTGTAACCTAATTTGAACTTATATTACAGGTGGATTGAAAGCAATCCAAGACACCAAAACGGCGGCGGTCATGTTGCCTTTGTTGGTGTCAAATTAATTAAATGAAAGATAATGAGATTCTTTTGATGAAATACCACCAACATGGCCGCCTTGACGTAATGTGCAATCGACGTATTGTATATAATATAAACTTTAGCAAAGCCAGCCATGCATTCGCCAGTAGGGTATCGCAAACAATGAACATAAATAGAACAGAATGTTCTCGTACCGCTTGGTGATTATTTTGGTCAACAAATCAATAATCAGACGTTGTATAAGTATTGAAAAATATAGATCAGAATGACTTGGGTGATTTTATTACCTTTTTCGAAAAACAATGTTTATAAATTAAGTCGAAAATTCAGTTGTTTACAACACTATTTGAACATTTAAAAACGCAGGATTTTAACCGAACAATTTTTGACAAAGGTAAAACGGTAACAACATATTTCCAGATATTATATATTACAGGTCGAAACCGCTAACGGAGTTTTTGATTTTACAACTCTATTTTAACAGCTTTTACACCAATTTTGCAATATAAACAATTATTAAACTTGTGCTCTTTAGCAATGATTTAAAAGAAAGCAAATTAACCACTAGTCACGTATTCACCAAAGCAGTAAATTAAAATCTGGCGTTTGAAGTTTACGTTTGGCGCATAAATTTCATACTTGAACTGCTATGAGGGCTTGTATAGTCGTTAAAGCATGAAATTTATACGCCAAACGTAAACTTCAAACGCCATGCAAGTCTTAATTTACTGCTTTCGCGAATACACGACCAGAGTTAATTTGTTTTCTTAAATCATTGTTAAATACCACAAGTTTAATAATTATTTAATATATTTCAAAGCTGGTGTAATAGCTGTTATAATAGAGTTGTAAAATCAAAAACTTCGTTAGAGGTTTGACGTTTGCCGTAAACGTCAAGCTAAAACTCTCTATTTAGTCTTTCACATTTTGCTTTCCTAAATTCTTGCCGAAGAGGAAGCCATTTTGGTTTCCGAAATAACGCATTGTATTAATGGAATGACGTGATGGCGTGCAATAATCTATTCTCATATTGCACCCGTTGACGTCCATAGTGCAATACTTTAACCCGTATTGCATCATTGATGTTACAACTCGTATTTGGTCAGCCATTCAAGATACCAAATATCGAAAATAGATTGTTAGAGGCAAAGATGATTGCACGTGCATGCCTTTCGTTTTTGCGTGATATTGGCGCTTGGATGAAGACCCTCAGCGCGGAGACGTTTATATGTCGCGCATTACTAGTCATTTAAAATGGGCAAACAGACAAACGCATCCTCCCAGTGGCTTCTTACAAATACAAGCAATTAAGATAAAATTTACAGCATGTAAAAGTACACTGACCGATTCCTTGCACTCAATTTCATCTCCCTTTCAATTTTTTCTATTTTAATCTCGTAGAAAATCGCACCACCAAGCCACCAGAAGGCCACCATATTGGACAGTGCAAGAATTCGAAGATGACAAACCATATATGGAACTATGCTGGGAGGCTGAACAAGATGCTCGATTTCTGCTTGGCATATCCAACGACCGGACCAGTTTCACAATGCGAGCTGAACCGGTAATACCAGCAGGTCAGAGGGCTCGGTCGCCCTTGGGAAGCCCATTGAAAAAATCGTACACACAAAACAGGGAAATTAAAACTGAGTCAATATACTCCCAATTTAAAAACAACCGGACCTCGTTTTTGGACAATCGTACGTCGTTTCTTCCATATCGTTCAGCAAAAAAGGACATTTTGAGCAAGCCATCCCGTAGTGAAAAACGATTGTCCACGGCAATTTTAAGCAAACCATCAACTCCCAGGAGAAGCAAAACACCAGCCTCCAGATGTAAATCGGATAGCGAAGCTTACAGTTATTCTCAAGACTACAACACTGGGACATTAACACGAGATGATGATATCGATCATCTGGAGGATCTGAGATTATCGTTGTTGAGCTGGACCACAACAACGCACGAGTCTTTCGTAGCGAGTGCTGGTATTCCAAATGAACCACGTAGCAGCCCTACGAAACCTCTTCATAGATCAGTAAGCGACATCAGTATGAATAGATATCGCCATGAGAGCCCAAGAAAAACTCCAGAAAGACGGCAGGAACTGGGAAATTCACCCTCATTTCCTTACAGTGGAAGAAGCTCGAGGCTTGAAGATATAGAAGGGACGGACGATGAAGTTGCCCGTATAACGGTATGTACACAGCTATATATGTTAATTAATGTTGTCTGAAGGCGGTTGTCAATGCATGTAGAATGTTCGTTTTCTCACAGTTTGTGCAAATATCAAGGAAGCGATTTAGCACTCTCCTGCTTCATGCCACTGTATGCAACTGTCTCAGCCAATAAGAATTGAGAAACTTTTATCATGTACTTTGTATCTTATCGACGTTTTCACCAATATTCACATACCCATATTTAAATATTAATGCTGGTGGATTACAATTATTAATTGCACAACAGTTTAAGGTGCAGGAGTCCACTATTAGTTTGCTTCAGTACAAACATTACAAGGCAACAAATGGTGGTACTGGAAATACGTGCGCAGAATACAGAAGAAAAGTATAGGAATTGAAAAAGTATAGGAATTGAAAAAGTAAACATTTCCCCTTGCTGTCTTAGCTGCAGTATTACAGTAATGTAAGTGATCTCAGTCCTCTAGCCTGCCCAGTGATGAAGAATTGCTTTCTGGCAATTCCCAAATAGTTTGGAATATCTATCACTGAACCAGGCTTCTAAAGTAGGCATCATCATCTAACCCTGGTCGTAATTTCGAACTGTTGTTCTGCATATGGCACCCTTCAATTGTGTGCGAATTTTATACATTTATTTAGACCTGCCCAGGAGGAGCCTGTGTACAGCCGTTACTCTCGACGAAACGCGCGAGACGTCTGTGAGTTGGATGCATAATCCTTGTTCAGGTCACGTGGATAGTTCCCAGATTTGGGGACCGGCCTCTGATTGGACAGTGCTTTATTTGAATAATTTATGACAAATGAAGCTATTTCATTGGTTAATTGATAATTAGCATGCGTTTAAAATAACAACACAAAAATTTTAAAATTCCTGATCAAGAATCAAGATTTCCTTCGGGGCATACAAAGGTTTGAAAGACTTGAAATACAATCTTAAAAACGATACACCAGAAATATATTGCATATATTTCTCGATGACGAGATTTGTTTTGAGTGCGAACAATGCTGAACGATGATCATTGCTGGCAAGTCCGGTGCACAAGCTCATTTCTTGGCGTACATAGACTACATATATATGGCGTATATTTGTTTACAAAGACAAAGTATTAAATATAAACACAACTGGTTATTCAAAAGGTGCGTTTTAAAGTAATTAAAAGTTAACTGGCCAAGTAAGACGAAGTTAAACACATTACATGTAAAGAAAATGCTTTATCGCGAGGGGTCGGGATATATAAACAGATTGTCAATTTATTAAATTGTCAATTATAAATTGTCAATTCTTGATCAGGAATTTTAAAATTTTTGTGTTGTTATTTTAAACGCATGCTAATTATCAATTAACCAATGAAATAGCTTCATTTCTCATAAATTATTCAAATAAAGCACTGTCCAATCAGAGGCCGGTCCCCAAATCTGGGAACTATCCACGTGATCTGAACAAGGATTATGCATCCAACTCACAGACGTTCTCTCGCGCGTTTCTTCGAGAGTAACGGCTGTACACAGTTACCCAGGAGCAGCTGTGACAAAATGCAATTATGAGCAGGAATCGAACCTGTGGCTCTGTGATTCCAATTGTAAAATTCCAGAGTCCAATTGTCGAGCTCTAACCGCAAGTTCATGTATACTTAGTAAGGTGATCATGCCATGGTAAATATCCCAATCGCCTAGAGTTGCATTTTTTCGCAGCTGCTTCTGGTTAGATCTAAATAAATGTATAAAAATCACACTCGAAATTTCCATGTACAAAATTCTTTAGTTCAATCGAGTGAGATGTCCAAAAATTCTGATACTTATAGTGAAAACCATCTATGTTGATGAAAATTTCAACTTAATTAATTAAATTACACTGTTATTTGCTAGGCCGGTGCATCGCGTACATCTTCACCTGCAGGCTTCCATAGCAGTCAACGATCTAGATCCGTTCAAGGTGATCGAGACAGCCTTTTTGCTGACAGCCCTAGAGATTCTTACTACGAAGCCCAAAGACTTGCTCACATGCGGAGAATGGACAATGACGGGAAGACATTCCTATCCAGAGCAATGAGAAATCCAATGACAAAATACAACTTTATGGCCCAGTCGTGAATAGATATTATGGTAGAGGGTAAGAAAGCTTCGGATTGATACTGATAGGGATACAACTACCTGAAAAATACAAGGAGAACTTTGATTTTTCGAGCGAAGGACCGGGGGTCGGAAAATTACATGAGTTTTTATACTAGCGATAAAAAAAATAAACCAATCAGATGGATTTTGTCAAAACAAAGTGTAAACATAAAAAATGCAAATCACATTATAGAATATATTAATACAAGTATACAGAAAACTACAAACACAAAAAACACACAAATATATGAGACAAGTATGGAATAAGGTAAGAATTTAAAGTACTGTCAATGTCTGTTTTTGACAGGCAAAGACAGATAGAGTTAAACATAGCAAAAAGGTTCGTTAATGCCAAGTTTGGAATGAGGCGCATTTCATGTCTTTCGCGGCTATCATTGCTTCCAGAAATGGAACAGATATGAAAATTCGAGCCATCTATCCCATTTCTGGAAGCAATGATAGCAGCAAGACTGTCTTTGCCTGTCAAAAGCAGATATTGACAGTACTTTAAATTCTTACCTTATACCATACTTGTTTCACATATTTTTTTAGTTTTCTGTATATTTGTATTAATATATTTAGTATCGCTCGAAACATCGACGTTCTCCTTGTATTTTTCAGGGGCCGGTTGTTCAAAGCTGGGTTAGCCTAACCCTGGGTTAGCCTAATATTCAAAGAAAGCTTGCCTATAAGCCCTAGTTTGTCTTGCCCTAGCTTGTCTATAAATTTGGAAATATTTCTTCACAGATCTTGTCTGGATCGATAGGAGTTATCTTCTCTGAAGTTTTGAAATAAACAGACGTGCAGAAGTACATAAACTAAAACAGCAGGTTAAATTTTAACCCAGAGTTAGCTCTAACTCACATTTGAACAACCGACCCCAGGTAGTTGCATCATCCGCAGCTTTCTTATTACTGGCACTACTTACACTGACACAAACCGTTCAAGATTATATATAGTACAGGTAGATCAATACGGATAATAATACCAATATAAAATCTGCTGTGTTGGTGTAATGTACTCAGGTGAATAAGATGTTTCTCAGTTGGAAGAGCATTGGGCTAGTATTCCAAAGGTCGTAGGTTCGAATCCCGCCGTGGCCAGGCATATTTTTCAAGCCTGCCCGGTGTGGATATACACTCAGAGTAACATCACACAAACATCTTATTCACCTGAGTACATTACACCAACACAGCAGATTTCATAAATATTAGATTACACTGATATCGAAGGAACTAGACTCAGTTCCAAAATATCGCTTACTCGAACCGTCCTGACCGCGTAGCTCAGTTGGAAGAGCATTGGGCCAGTATTCCAAAGGTCGTAGGTTCGAATCCCGCCGTGGCCAGGCATATTTTTCAAGCCTGCCCGGTGTGGATATACACTCAGAGTAACATCACACAAAAAAAAAATAAAAAAAAAATACCAATATATCTAAAACTTTGCATCAGTTTTGAAACAGCTGTAGATTTAAAGCCCTGAGTAAATCAGGAAAAGTTGTGGTGGAATCAAATGCGATTTCGATGTTTCATTCTATGTTATCTGTTTACCCATCCTTAGTAACATTGTTGCGGAAATCACGAGTTTGGGAAATTTTTGCTTCTGAGATCTTTTGTTTCCCAAGATTAAAGTAGCTTTGTCGACATTTCACTGCAAAAATATTATTAATTCAAATAACTCCTCCAAAAAAATAGTTTAAACAGCTGCATCCATGCATATTCCAGTTGTTTTTAAGCCCAAGCCAGCTGGTGGTTAGTTCAGTTAGGTTTAAGTGGTAAAGCTTGGCCTTAATGAAATAACGCAAATTTCTTAAAAAAAATAAAGTTAGAGAATATATCCACACTCTTTTGTATCTGGGTGTCTTAAAAAAATTGGGTTATTTTTGTTGTTTCCAGAGAACGTAATGTGTGCGTGTAAATGTATTTTAAGGTGCATCCATAACATGCACGAAGTCCATAGAAGTTAATTTAGTATATTACAAATAAACTAGAATTGGAATTATATTTCAATACCGATGACAACAACACTTGCAGACTATTATAGTTCCACTAATAGATATTAAATCAAATCTGTAATATGAAGACAACTTAATTTCATATTAAAAACGATATTTGAAACAAGTTTAACGAATTTTCAAACCTTGCATCCTTAATTATTTTGTTATCATACAAGTACAGTACTAATGCACAATTTTCCCCATGTATATTATTAGGATTAAGGATTTAATCAGTTAATTGGCCCAGCTGAGATTTCATACATGGCGAAAATCCCCCAAATAACTTTGAACAATGCTGACATTTTAAACATCAGTGTATATAAAGCCGGTTACAAACGGCCCCCAAATTTTCTCTGACAAGTTTTCATATGGTGAGTTGTGTTTGCTAATTGCACGGCCTTATGCACAGTACGCACCACAATTTTTCTACGACTTTCCTCTGCATGGTTTCCTGGCGGCCACGATCGACCACCTGCGATGATCCGAGTGCTCAAATTAGTTTGTCAAATTTCTATGTTGACCCATACAGACGTAAAATTTGTACTTTGTCATCTTTTACTATGACAAGTACACTTGTTCAATTGAACAAGTACACTGGTCATAGGAAAACTTGGCAAAGTTGCCTATATAGGCTATACAGAAGATGACATAAAAACTTGCCATATAACTTATCATATAGAACATTTGCTCGTCTGCAGCTGGCTTAAGGACCGTTTTACCTAGAGGAGAGCTATGTTGATTTCTAAATTTTGTAAGCCCCCTCTCCCCTTATGTGATATCGGGTCATTCCAGAAAACATCCATACCTCCCTCAAGGAGGAAATTGGAAGTTAACTCTCCTACCCCGTTCGGATGTCCTAATATACTTAGTATTATCACTCCCCCGTCCGGACGATATAAATTTCGTCCATGGGGATTGTGGATCTTATCTGGAACGACCCATTGGACAAACAAGGATGAATTGTTATGACCCCCCCCCCACCCCCCGCTCTCAAACTTTACTGACCCTTTAATTACACAGTTAATTTCTTTCTGAATCCTTACATTAGATTTTGACGTGCATTGTATTGCATTACGTTCAGAATACTTCAACACTTTGTACTTGACGTAAATATATGTCATAGCGTTTGTAATATCAACATATCTTTATTAATAATCTGCTGTTATACAATCAAAAAACTGCATGAATAATATTGTTTGCAATTATCTTATTTTAACTATATCTTAACTATATTTTAACTATGCCGAGGAAATTATTTCAACAATATGATCAGTATTATTCATACAAACATGATCCAAAGACTGTATAGCAAATGCTATTCACATATGTACAACTATTTAGCATCACTTTATTAAAGTGAAAAACCTGTTAATAGTACCTACTGTGCATATATACACTCATTTGCTATAGGTATGGATTTAAAGGCTAGTTTAAATTATCAATATTTCTTTGACCAAATTATTTAATTTGATAATGAGCAGCTGTCTTTACTCATAACATCGAGCAAAGGTCTTCAAAGTATATTTGATCAACACATTTTGATCACACAGTTCAAACTAAACCTAGGCTTAAAAGCCAATCTTAAATACCTGCATGTACGTGCAGTGTATAATAGTTAGGATTGGCGTAAAAATTTATAGTGAATATTGTTAATATAATATTTTCTGCTCAAAGCTTGACTCGGGCAACAGGATACAAATACAGTTAATCACAACAGAAATGAAAATTTTAGGAAACGTTTTGGTGATCCTCCCCCAAGTCTCTGCAAAATTTTTGGGGAATCTTTGATAGCCCGCTAAATTGCACTGTTCAAAATGATGACTCCCCAAGAAATTACCATAGCCCCCTCTAGGTAAATTATCAACGCTCCCATAAGCGAAATAAGAGGAACTTTTGATACACGAAAGTTTTATTATTTAGCATTTCTGAAATATTTCCTGAGTTCTTTAATTAATGTAATTACCCATGATGAGGATCTGGGTTGTTTTGAAACAATGACATAACGCTGTTAAATGGCATTCTTTGTTCTCCGTACTGCAAACTGGGATCTAAAGATAGTGGAGGAAATGAAAATAATAAATAAATTTAACTTATACAAAGGAATAAAAGTAGATTCAGAGTCAACGGCCGTTGAGGCCGACTCACGGATACGATCAAATGAAAGTGACAGAAAGAATTAGAGCAATCTCGTGTAACCCGCGAACAGGCATACTCTGGGAACGAGATTGGAATTAGAGCAATTTGAAGTTGTTTTTGCAAACCGGGCACCGTGCGAATTTTGCCATTTCACCCATTTGTCGTGCTTCATTTGCGAAATCAAAAGAACGAACGCGTGCTTCAGCCCGATTTCCGGTCCTGAAAGACCCGATTCGCAGGCAAACAGTGCGCGCAAAGCAGGCTGGTCATTGCCCATTATTTAACTGCCCCACACTCACACCACACTAAAGTAACCACAAAGACTCACAGATGTTGCTTCGCAACATGCGTGAGTCAAAAAGCCTGGGAACGAGGTTGTTATCACAGCATTCGACGTTTATCGTGTAGTAAACAAATGTATGGCAAGGTCCATCTGCAAAACACAGGATTTTGATTGGTTGCATCAACCGCGCGGAAACACATATTCCGCAGAATACATGCGTAGTTTTCGCGCATGCTCAGACACTTTCCTATCTGTAATTCCAAAAAGCACGGAGAAATTCTGAACAGAATATAAAACTGAACAATTTTTTTTTACACGGAATAAAACTTTACAAAACTGAATAAAACGGAACACATACATGTAAATCTGGACAGATTTAATACTTCTGAAATCCTAAACGTAAATTTTTGGCTTGATTCCGAGGCGAATCTTCACAAGCTATCTTTGTGCACCAAGTCCTGTTATTGACACTGTAGTAGACGTCGAGGTAGTCTAAACGAACATGCACTCTTAATTCCTCTATATTACCTTGATGTTGAGATATAGATATTCTCTGCGAGATTACATCATCAACTCCACTGCTTTCAGTCTCACTATCACTATCACCATCACCAGAACTGCTAATATCGCTACCGTTATCAACGTCACCACCACCACTTTGATCCATATCCACACCATAACCTGAAGAAATGCGTTCTAGGCCTGAAGAAGAGGGAAGATATTATACACTATGTGTGTGCTCTACGTCTATTAACCATGGTGTGTGTGTTGCAACACTGGCCCACTGATTCTAGATCGGTTTCATTGATTGCCTGAGCTAATCATAACAATGAGTGACAGGATGGCATGGCAATTGGAAAATATGGGAAACATTGACTGAAGACAATGGAACATTCCGATCACTGGACTGTGACTGAATGGCACTATTGCTACCCTAAGTATAAAACAATGAGCTCAGTGCTCCAAGCATGACTAATCCAAACGTGATGCGTAAACATTACACACGTTTCTAGAGCTTACCAGGTTGATCGACAGGTACATACGGAGAATTTAATCTTGACGTTCTTTGGAAATTACTGCCAGGCTGTCGATTATGCAGTAGATTTCTATCTTGACTATCAATTTGATCCATGCACATAGGCTGCTGAGGTGTGACTGCGCGAAAAGGCTGTACAGGCGACACAGCATCCATCATGGGCATAGGAGGTAGAGGTGGTTGAACAATGGTAGTAAGATCATGGGTAGTCATTTCCATGCTAGTTTAAAAAACAAACAAACAGGAGAAACTCTCAAGTATTGCTTAGTATTTAGATAAACAGATGGCTGCTTTAATTTTAATTTTAACGTCCATTTCATTCGCCTTGCATTTTTCCATGTTTAAAATTTACTAAAGATGCAGAAAGTGCGATAAACGAATAGCAACCTGGTCTCCTGACGAAAGGCCTTTGCTGGAAACGTCAATAATTGTTTTCTCTCTCTCAGATTGAGTGGCTGTTGTGCACTTCACAAACCACTTTAAATGTTCTACGCCGTGCTTGATCACCCATTTTTACGATTTATGTGCAATAGGGACTTGCCTGCTATCGTTAAATATCGGAGAGGTACACGACCCTAAAGAGTCGTCATTTGTCTTGTGAGAGTAATAACCAATATGGGATAGATTGAAAGTTTTGTGATACATGCAATAAAATGTGCTGTGTTATCATTCAATGTCAGTTACAAAATATTGGGCTTATGAATCAAGGCTGGATTTTTGTGGAAATGCTGGAGGAGATGGAAACTGAAGGTGCCGGTCTGGCCCACGGCTTAGCGCTCAGAACGTAGTGAATTATGTGACTGAAGTCAGTTATGTGTACAGTGTACATATTTATGAATGTGTTCATGAATTATGACTATACGACTCATCCAACTTCCCCCTCGTTACAATACTACAAGATTTCTCCCTTGGCAGAGATGATTATCACTTTTTCGATTTTAGTTTAAGTGTATTCTAGTTTAGTAACAAACATTAAAGTTAAATGTTAAGTTTGCGTCAGATTTCGACTTTGATCCATCTTTTGACTTTTTTTCAAGGGGAAGTGCATTTGAAGACACATTTTTTGAAAACCTCAAACGTTAGTACTGTAGCTTGCTATTGCAACTGCTTCTATATTTTTTTGTCAAAAAGACGCTGAATTATGAGCCAATGAAAATTATTTCAAGTGCCATGTTTTTTACCACGGTATTTTTTGGACGGTCAGTTTTGATACCTTGGCTAAATGCCTGCCTCAAAACCCGGCCATGGTACGAATTTATGTTTACAACCTAGACGGACTCTTTTGTCACTGCAAATGTCATTCCCCCAAACCTTTTGACACTGATTTACTGCTAATTTGCTTAACTTCAATGGTATATCACGCATGGTTGAAAATTGACCTTTTTAAATGACCCTGAGTCATTAATTCGTGTTTTATCACATATAAAACACGACGCGTATTAAGGACGTTTAGGGGACAGGGAGTGTTTCCCTAGTGTTACATTTAGTACCTTTCATTTTGCGGTTTTGCCTTCGTCTTATCCTGCTTCTTCGGATTTGCTGACGGCGGCCGTTTGGGCTTAGCTGGTTTCTTTGTCTTCGTGGCATCAGGAAATCCAATATTAAGAACAGGTAAGTTCATCTTCGGACCTTCAGTCTCATCGGAAACTGTCGATGGAAGTGAAATGTCCGGGATACCAATAGCCGCTTCCTTTGCTTTTTGCTAAAATTACAAAACACATTCAAATCTATAATTTGATTCTATAGTAACTATTAAGCGTGTTCGAATCTTTATATCTCTCTCTTTCACGGGCGTTGATTTGTGGGCCATTCAAGTAATAATTGTACAAGTGGAAAACATACGAGAACTGGTCATTTCAAAGTGTGTGTTGCCCAAAACATCAGCACTGGTTTCCAAAGGTCAAAATCAAGTTTCCCTTTCTTAACGCGCCATTCACAATAATTCCCAGGATATTTAAATGACAAATATATTTTCAAGTTCGACGAAGTAATTCTTAGTTAAATTCATCCAATATGGCGGCGGTTACATAGATCTCCCCCCCCCCCAAAAAAAATGGCTTCCCATTTTTTATGTTGATCCATGGGCACTTTTATATTGATGCACAAGGCAGTAATTTGTGAGAAACGTTAAGGCAGAAAGGACCAATTTTCCAATTAGACAACATACTACAACATGTAAGTTTCCCTTTTTTTTAAAAGCCTAAAACACCACAGAAAATTTGGTATGACTGCATGCCGATATGACTGCATGCCAGTGGCTTATATACTTAATAGCAGATGCTCTAAATTTTGATATCAGCGAGCCAAACACATATCCACGACGATCCCCTTTTTACTGAATTAATTTACCATATTTCACCAACCTGCTGTTTCAAGAGCTTCTGTTTTTGGTTCTGTTGTTTCTTTGCACGGGCTGCAGCCGCACTTGCTTCATGAAGTTTCTCTATACGCCAAACAATAAAACTTTGATTAAGCTGTGTTTGATTATTCCCCGCGTGAATACATTCGTCTAGTGAAAACCCAAGTGGTGGATTTATAGGGGTGGGTGGGGTAGATGTGCGCCACTGATGGCCTTGGTCAACAAGGGTGCAAGGGGGAGGGATGCAAAAAATTAAACAAAAATTTTAATTTTAAATGTTTGAGGTATTCAAAGTTTGTTATCTGTCTTAAACTTGGAATTCAAGGCAGCACCACAGCACTGGTTCAATATACCAAGTCCAATATTAGTAACTTTTTAGTTTGATACTTTGATTAAATAAAGCAAATTCTTAATAATTTTGCTGCAAACGTCTAACATTATAGGTATTTGATAATAAAAATAAAAAATACAAAAGCAATCAAATATTGAAATGTGAAAAATTTCCATTTTGTCTTTCACACAATCACAGTATATCAAGAGAATCGGGGATTTATATTTTATATAATTATTAAATTATATTTATTCAACATATATGTAAATTGTATAAGCTCGAAGCTACCAAGTGCACTTTCATGACAGTACGCCGCTGGCCAGTGCTCTGTGTTCGGTGTGCTTCATGGCTGCTGGCCTACCACCCCCCTGAAAAAACCTTGCTGGATTCACCACTAGAGAACCTGGCTTTGCATAGAGGATAGAACAGTGGTTCTTACACTAATTAACCCAATTTGATAATTTACCCAATTGTTTAATATTTGGAGAAAGCAGCTTGCGCTACAAAACCACAACACACCTTTTCGATATATATATGATCGTCCATCGTTTTTCGATGATGTCAATGGTTGTTCTTTCTCATTCCCTAAATTTGTTCGCTCGTACATGCGCCGCTCTTGTACGAGCGAACAAATGTAGGGAATGAGAAAGAACAACCATTGACATCTCAGTCATCATCGAAAAACGATGGACGATCACACCTTTTCGATAATTACGTCATGAATACGTTCTTGGCTCGGGAGCCTCATTTTCATGAATCGTGAGCCAATCGCCTTCCGTCTTGATTCATGAGAGCGAGGCTCCCAGGCCAAGAACGTGTTCATGATGTAATTATCGAAAAGGTGTATTGACCATTTAAATTATTAGTTACTGAAATACTATTGGTAGAAAATAAAGGCAAATCTCACCAAACTCTTCGGCAGTTCTAGTTTTATGCAGGTATATCCAAACTTTGCGTGCATTGTCATATTTTACACAAGGATCTTTCTCGTAATGAAGACGATCCAGGGCTCCACTCACAACTGTATGGATCTATAAATAATAAGACACTTGAGATTTTGTATAAAGAAAAGCAAATTCTGGCTGCACATGAGGTAATTGAGCAACGCATATACCTGTCCATCTGTTGCAGTTGGATTTATATATTGAGAGTCTTTCAACAAAAGGCAAACCTGAAATAGAAAATAATTTTAACGCTGATTAAAGCTAAGATCATGCATGTATTTCACTTCACGAGAATATTATTGTAATTTAGCAGCTAACACGGCTGTGTTTGAAAACTCATGCAGCCACGTAATCGTCGTATAAACACGTGATCAAACTTGAACATTGAAGACATACCTCTGCTCTAGTGCCTTCTCCATTTGGCAATCTTGCAGCAGCATCTCGTACTAATGTCAAAATTGTCACGTACGGAGGTCGCTTGGATACTAACAAAGAGTGCTCTCTCGCCTTGTTTAGATTCGATTCTTTCGTAAACACGCCCTAAAAAACAACTATGACAGTGACAACGAGATAAAATATATAAACACAAAACGAATTTAATTTGTGCCTCAATATTTGATTATAAAAGAATACATATCTAACTATTTTATAATGTATATTGGCATTTGAACTACAGTAAATACCTTCACAGGAGCAACTATGGACTCAAATCCATGCATCTTGTAAATGAAAGGTTTATGTGGGTTTTCATATCTTTGTCGCTCCTATAAGGAAAACAAGACATAAATTAAAGTTTTCAAAGCCAATAGTTCCAAACATCACAATCCATAAAGCAATACAAGCTACCCGTAATATTATTATCTTAAATATGCCAACTGTATCATTTGCACATGCATCCTCGCATCAAGTTAATAAATATCTCGAGAAGAAAGCAAACTAACCCTTTGCGGTTTTACTTGAAAAAATACCCAACAAACCTGAACTTGATACTCAGTTTTTTCCACCACTGTACTTGGTGCTACAACGTATTCTGTGCGTCTAAAGAAGTAAGGGGACTTTATTAAAACGCCGTTCAGACATTGATCGAAAATATAAAAGACGGTGCCATAACAGGATTTACCAAAACTACCATTCGCATCATTTCGTATATAGTATTGGACCATTCTCATGTTTGTAATCGAAGAAGATTATCTTAAGAAAACAGATTGTACTCACGGTATGACTCCCACTGCAGACGTTTGAGTATTACTCTAGATAAAGGAGAAATGTAATACTGTACACGCGCCTGCAGATTTTATTTTTGTGGAGGTATTAGCCATATTCTACGCCGGCGCAGATAATATTAGATAGCTAGCTTCCCCGCTCCTCGTCATTTTTGGAGTTGTTAGTCATTAACTCCAGGTTTACATAGCCAGCTGAACTTATTTTTTGGAGTTGTTAGCCAGTATCTCTAGGTTTAGAAAAGGCAGCACTACTGCCTTCACATTATTTTTGTAGTTGGTTTGTAACATACTTCATGTATAATTGCAATTTGAACTCACCACAACATTATCCTTTGTGTCCAGCCAGTGCTCAAACAAAGGTACAAGATCGGTATCTGTGTCTCGGAAAGTACCTGTACGAAATACCATACCATTAATCCATTATAAAAAAACGCAATGGTTATACTCATCCAAAATAACCTCGTAAGATACGCGAATAATTAAAGGTCATTGTCAACCACAATGCATTGTGCGCCCAAACCTGCTTGGCGATCATTTCAATGGCGGAATAATAGATGTTCTGGTTTTCAATCCATAATATATTACTACCATCCTGTGGTTATACTTGCTCATTTTAACTTTTTTATACTAAAATTGCACCAAAGAAATCTTTATAATCGTCATTTGTTGCTATTTTTCACTTCCGAAGGTAAGATGTATAAACAAATGCATTGTGGTTGACAATAACCCTTTAATGAGCATTGCACTCAATCAAATTTCAAGGGTTATTTATGCACCAATTCATATATTCAATATATGTAATCATGGATACATGAACCCAGTTCTTCACATATATCATTCACTTAAGCATCATAGGTACGTCATTATTAGGAATTTGTTAATTTAAGAATTTCTTTAGAAGGAAATATTTGGTGGAAATTTCTAACTTGGGTAGCTCGAAAGCCTGCATGTGCTACTCTAGCCTAAATAATCATGTTGTAAAATTTGTATGTGTATATCTAATAATATATTTTATAAAATGTGTAACTACCTTTATGTGTGAATAAACGATTGATTGATTGATTATTTTTGTGAGGTGTTGAAATCGAATAAGTAGTCAAGAATGAGAATATATGTAACAATTTTTTAGGTGTGATATGACGTAACAGTAGACATCAGTTAATAACTTATCCAGTTATCCTAATGTACACAAACATTCACAAACATTATTCGTGTTGAATCTCTATATCTATACATGTCCAAGATCTACATGATCTATTAATATATGCGCATAAAGTTGTTTTGGCACAAAGAAATGATTTCGTTGGATGCAGGATTTAAAAGAGTTTAAAACAGTAATTTCGGAAGGAACGTGTTTTTAACCGGGCACATATTGTATGAGCGATTGCACTGCTTTTAAAAAATCTTTTCGTTAAGAGAAGGTGATCTTAATAGTATAATATGGGAGATCAGATGGTTTACATAATTTCGAAAGTGTTATTGTCGACAGTAAAGATCGCTTGATAGTGTGCGACTGCCGTTGAAAATCATCCAAACTTACCGATCCATTTCCATTGATGAACTTTTTGTTTAAAAATCACCATTGGTATATACGGGGGACAGTTCGATACGTCTAAACAAATGACGAAGTAATTGTATATGAAGCCACATGAAACATAATGGAAACTGAAAAGCGAGGGCTATCTCGATAAACAACAGTATACTGCATGTATGTACTCTACAGAATTAAAACACACATATATGTTGATCGGAAGTAATCAGCAAGTAGATTAAGACCCGTTCGCACGATACCGGCAGAGTTTGAAAACGGAACGAAATTCGTGCAAACAGTATAAACACGTGATCGATATGTATAAAATATCATTCGTCTGCCTTTGATATCGGTAAATTGCGTTTTGCAATATTTTTTGTATTAACCACCTCTTTACCCTATATGCTTTGATGTATTCAATGAATAACCATACTACAATCTTTCGTCCTACAAATGTGCTTGGTAGTATTTCATTTTGACTCATTCAAGCTAATGGTACAACAATGGGCCACGACAGGTGCACTGGAAGTATACTTGTCTTGTACAGACGTCTACATTTTATTCATTCTCATGATACTGTTTTCAATTACGAAATTTAATGGTGAAAACCACTATTAAAACAAAATCACTATTATCACAAAGTCACAATAATATTATCACCTTTCCCACTACCAGCCAGAAATTTGAGAGCAGATGGTATCTGATCTATCCAATTACGTTCTTTAGTACTCCAAGCACTCGCAGCACAAGACGATGATTGCTGAAGAAAATACAAACACAATTCGGTTAGACATCATAACCTGTCATGATATGGTGACTTATAAAGTAAATTGAGTTTCTATAGTATACCTGCCACTCTCCAACCATGCGTTCTAGCTAAATAAGAAAAGAAAATGAGAACACCGTATTTAGTAGTGCAATATATAATTAGTAGGAAGCTTATGGGGACTGCAATACAACGACCAAACACCGTCGATTATTGAAATACACGATTGTACACAAATGCATAATATATCCATTCAGTTTCGAAAGGTTCAAGACAGGCGCTTTACGATTCAACAGAGTTTTACACAATAGACTGTACTGTTTATTGCACATTTGCCTAGTCTCCCTTGCAGCCGTTATTTATGTCGAGGTTTCTCCTTTCCACATTTCCTTAACTCTAGTTACTGTGTAAACTTGTAATTGGGCTCAAGATCAATCAAGAGAGGCAAATCCGTGTACAAAACACGAAGATATTAACCTTCATGTGCGTCAGCTTTGCTAAATGGAAACGTGGCCTCTGGAGCAGAAATGAATAAACAGTAAAGTCTAAAAGATGCATACTCATGCACGCGGTTGTTATAGCCTGAAAATCTGCCATAAGTATATTAAGTATTATATGGGGTACACGATGTCTTAACAGGCACCACTGCATGGCACTCGTACCACTCTCCTCCGACCTCCGAAGAGGCTAGAAACACAAAGGCTGTACTGTAGTTAGTATATATACTGTAGTTAAACACGCGGGCAACATACCCACAAATTATGAGGCATGCAGCAATTACCTGTACCTGAATACCTTATATTTTCCAGGTATAAATAAAGTGACATAAAACCTCTGCGGAGGACAGTGCACCCGCACCAAAATCTTTCCGGGATAAAAATGTACGAGTGCCAAAATTGAGCGTATAGTGTAAACTGACCTTGAGGGTGACCTCCAAAGATTGCCGTTACATCAAAATTTAGGGGCACAAATCATGGTATATTTTTTATTCCAATAATCATCAATGTTTGATATGATATACAAAATTTATAACTCGGGGTCAACACACCGTCAAGGGAAATCAAAGGGAAGTGCGCAACCCTTCCGCGACTATAAAATGACGAATTCCAAATGTTTATGGCTGTTACAACCAAATAAAAATCAAGTATACTAGACATTGGGAAAATCATCCATAAAGACTAATATTTGAAGACTTCAGCTATACAAGTTTAGAGTTGAACATATACCTGGTCCAATTCAGCAGTTGCATCTGGAAGATCCAAAAATATATCGCGAAGTAGAGAGAAGAAACATGGACAGCTGCTTTCCATGACCTTGTAACTAAAAATAGTGTACGATTGATTATTATATTTCGATTCAAGGAGGGCAGTGTACGTTAAAAAGAGAAGCCATTTACGTAAGGTATTGAATTACCCTATATTGACAGGGCTACTCCCACAGTACAATCCGACTTTTGTGTGGTAACTATATAGCCCGGATCAAACGAGGATGAGAGTGCTTGTGAGTTGGCAGTCACGCGGCCTTGGTTAGCTGTTCTTTGTGCTTTCCCAATACTATCATGTATTTTATTTAACTCAGAGCGAACCTTTACTTTGTTAATCAAGAGCTGGAAATATCCCAACTCTCGTCCACGTTTGATCGGGGCTTAACCTTGCTGTACTTTGCGCGTGCTAGTGGTATGATGCATGTATGATGATTATCTTGGACGTATGGTTGCCGCATTTCAACGCTGTGGTCTGCAGGGAGAACGGATAAAAGAATCTTCACTCAAAACATTGAAGAATGTTCTTCTTATTTCTCAGGTACTTCCGACACTAAACAACAATACCCACAGGGTATTTTAAAATAAAAGAACACAAGTTATAAATCGCAGACATTTTTAATCATTAGACATTTTTTGTAAGTATAAGTTCAAGATTTATATAATTATTTATAAGTATTATTTACTTCTTGTCGTCTTTTATTGCTGCGCGACTTTCCACCCAAAAATGGCGGACAAGGCATATAGACATTAGCATGGCGTGAGAAAGGCAAATTTACGATATTACATGTCGTAGCGACTCAACGCTTATCTCGGAGGACGCGTGCAGTGATTAAATTCTATTTCAGAATATTCTGTGTACTTAAATGAAATAAACTCGTCACCAATCCCCATTAGTTCGATAGCTCAGTGAATAGAGACTCGATGATGCGAGTTCAAATCACCTGGAAATAACGAATTTTTTGTTATTCTAATGTTAAACATTTTTTGATACCGCTAAAGATTATTCTAGATAACATAGATAAAACCAACCTCGTACCCAGACGTAGAGGAAAGAGCCTGGGTATGAGATTGAGACAAAACTGACTTGAACAAACTTGAACACAAACGAAATTAATTCATTTGTTCAAGCAAGAAAAATTGAAAGATGAAGGCAATCGTTTTTCTCTTCAACGATAATACGTTTACATGTTTAAAAGTTCGAGCAGACTGCACCGTTTAGACGATTGAATTTTGAAACCATTGGAAATACAACAGTACGGTAAATAGCATTATTATAATATTACTTCGTTAAGGCATTTTGGTCACTAGCTTTTCCTGGTGAATGAAAACGAAGAAACTTGTCAAGTTTCGTTGCAAACCGCCCGTACTGCAAAACAATTTTCCTCCGGTCTCAGAAGAGACCTTCGTCCGGACCTATGCAGGTAAATTGAATGCATTCTTTGTCTCGAATAATCATATGCAAAATTTATGTTCTCGCCTGTTGAAAACACTTTACTATCTTCATTCCTTCATGACGCAGGACTAAATTTTTCCAGAAAAATACGAGGCAATTGAATGTCGAGTTAATACTAGAAATTGTGGGCAACCACACAGTGAAATGTAACACTTTTTCATCATACAACGACGTATTCCATGCCAAACATAACCCAGAAATTACTATCCCAGGAAGAGAGCAGAGCAAGAAACAGATAACCGCCAAGGAACACGTGAACGCTTTCTTAAACTCCGTATGTCTTTTCTTTTCCTGACCACACGAGGTGGGTGATCCAGAAGTCGCAACTTTGTTTTCCCGTTGTTTCGCAACGAGAAACATTCTGTAGTTTAAGTAAAGAAAAAAGAATAGCAATGTAACAAGAAAGAGAAGTATTACGGCGTGGTCCGATATTAACAGCTCTTGAAAACAAAATGTCGAAAGAATGACTATTAGAAGTTGCAAAAATGTTAAAATAGACAAAAGCCTCCTCTTTGTGACATATATTCGATGGAAAATTGGCCGAGTTATTGATAGGAACCTTTCCACATTCAACGCCAAAAGCGCAAACATCGCGAAACCATGTAAAATGTTCAAAATAAATACCGCGACTTGCAGGAGCAGTTCGTTATAATCTTGGAAAGCCAGGGAAACTGTTGCTAGTACAACGATTGGATGAGTAATGCTGACTACAAGCAGATCAAAACAGGACAAAACGAGAATCATAAAGTAGCATAGTTTCTTTCGATGTTTTGATGATCTCCATAGACAGATTATCACCACGGAATTAAGGAATATCCCCGTAATCATGGAAATACCATTTACAATACACAAGAATATCACGTTTATCGAAGCATTAAACGGCATTTTACTGGAAACATCTATTTGTATTTCCTTGTATTGCACAAAGCTTTATTATTTTTTCTGAATCCTTGTCTGTCGTTTAATTCAGTAGTTATATAGGATATAATTTCAATAACTTGCCTAAAAGTACTTTAAATCTATTAAAATTACAGATAAATTATTAAAAATAAAAATTTAATGAAAATCAAACTGACTTTAATAATACTATATGCAGTAAGCTTTCTCGAAAAACCTATTTTTATAATTGCAGCGACTATTTTACGTCATGACGCTTACAACGTTCATTAATCCGGGCGGAATGTTTCTTTTAAATTGTTTATGCATGCATGTTGTTAATTTAATACAGCTCAAATTTTGAAACTACGGTTATGAAAAATCAATTTGTGTTAAAGCCATTTTCATTACATACATGTAGCGGCAAAGTCGCATATGCTCTTTGAGTTGTTCGTGACACAAAATCTCAGGAACGGGTGCATATCATAAATCGATCCCGCGCAATACACGTAATTCACTAAAACGGCGAAATTTCGTCGTTTTAGGCCAAAATTGAGTTGACGATATCCAAATGAAGGGCGGTTAGGTTAAAGTGGCGACAATTAATGCATGACTATATGCAACAACGTAAGGTATACTATTTCATTTTAACGAGAAATACATTAACACAAATCCCTCGCCCGATAATAACTGATTAACATTTTAACTTGGCAGATTGAATCTTTTACTAGTCCCCATAACCCATTAGATGAGGATATTGGTAATTTGAATTTTGAACGACTATAGGTAATCTGAAGTCATAGGTGAATTATTTAGCGACGTGTCTGGTATTCCTACAAATTCAGGGCGAGGGGAATCAATAATTAAGTCAAACTTTCCAAGTTTAGAAAGGTCAAGCAATATAAAAAGTACGGAGGGAAAGCGACGTGTCTGGCATTTCATTCCGGAATCATCGGATAATTGCATAAATGTTATATAAATATTATCGTGTTTCGTTTGTGGATTTGTTACAACAGTGATCCTCAATGTCGATAACATATGACCTTGATCACATGATAAGCTATGTAATCACTGGATAGTGCACATGCAAGCTCTGCAATGTTACAGCTATTTCAGATTTAAATTGCCACTATACCTCTTAACATCAGCAATAGTGCCTTGTTCGATCATCGGTTCAACTTCGTTTGGTCTTTGGATAACAGGAGGAGAGGCAGGAGGCGGAGCTGGTGGCAAGGGCTTGGGAACGACATTAGGAACAGTTCGTTTCTTCTTAAACTTTTTCTTCTGTTCTCTTTTCTCTTTTACTTTGTACTTCCTTTTCACAACTTTAAAAAATCAAACGATGTTGTCAATTAATGTTTACTATTTGTCGTCCAAAACAGTATATGAGATAACAAACCTTGATAAATCATTTTTCTTCGTAAACAAACTTTAGCCGATACAGCAAGCGATATCGCAAGTTGTTAATGCTACTACTTCACTTGTACATGCAAATGTACTTAATTAAAGCCAACCTGTTTTCGACGCCCTTCTTGCAGTGAGATTCGTCCTGGAAATAATATCCTCCAATGTAATCCCCTCAATGTCAAGCTCAGGAAAAACCTTAATTATAAAGTGCAAACAACAATTCAATGATCGTAAATAAAACAAGCCAAAAAGCCACTTTCATAATACAGATAGGTTTTATTCTTTTCCGTACATTTTAATAACCCTTCTCGGCCTCGTTTTTGTAACCGAAATTGAACAGAATTTTTTAACCTTGAACTAGTCTAAGAAGGCTTATTAAGACATAAAGGAACATTTAAACCCATCCGTATAAATGAAAGCGGTCTATTGTACTTTCAAGATACACAAAGAAGGGTGAGAGTGCCACTTTGCATGCGGGTAGCTAGTGCATGCATGTGTAATTACACTGGGCGTGTAATTCTTATACAATATGCAGTTTTACTGTAACAGCGATGAACCCATAAAGGATAATAGGAAGAATGGGCTTCAAAATAATTTGTATAAATTTAGTTGTTTTTGTTGAATGATTAACGGAATGTTTGATTCTATTGTTTCTGAAACTTTCACCTTTAATATTTGAAACTTTAATACCTTGAAAACTGAACCGCTATAAGCGGGACTATCGAGGTCAAAATGTTGATTCTTAAACGAATTTTTGTTAGTTTGAACAATTTAAATAAGTTAGCTTCTAACCAAATCTTTTGGAAAACGAAACAAAATTTGACACTCAGGATAAACCAACACATGCTATTTACTTGATGACAAGAGAACTTTTACAGGAAATGTCTATAACCGAATGTTAATACGGCATGCAGCAAACGGTATTGCCTGGGGAAACCAAACTTTCATCATGGCGTTCTCTGACAATTCCCATGAGATCGAAGACATATTCATCTACCTCTCTCTTCATTCGTTTCCGTTTATGGTTCTGCAACATTCTATAGTAATCTTCGTCAGTAACCATGAGTCGTGCCCCAGGGGTAGATACTGCAGCCGGCGTCATGACCACAGAATCTCGAATGCCAGACATCTGCCCTGTCTCGCTGCCATTAAACACGAATTGCTGCTGGGTGTTCATATCTAGGAAAGTGATGTAATAACAGTAAAGATAAAGTTTCTGAAACGTTCTCTGATCCCTTTCGACTGCCATGCAGTCTGCAGTCTTCGACAGGTAAAGTGATAACGTTTCAGAAACTTTATTATGAATCCTGGTCGCGCATCTGTAGCATTTTTAATAACAGTAAAGATCCTTTACATGTATATATAGTCATAGAATTATTGGATTCGTATGAAATAGAGTTGAAAAATGATTACTGTACACGTATCGAGCGATGGTTATTTGTTAACACGGAAAATTTCAACTACAGTACTAAACCAAAGCTCTTACCACATAATTTGAATTTGTACGTACTTCAATGCATGATTGTAGATAACTATGTTACGACGCATGCTCGGTTTTAAAAATTTCGCATAACAATATGTTCGACAGAAAAGCTAGATGTAAATAATCCTACTAATGCATGCAGTAACGCTATACAGTAACCGCTCGGCTATTTACACCCAGGAAAAGGAAAGCAGTAAATGACAGTTATAGATTCATGTCTCGCTAAACCCTAACCGCTAACCCTAACTCATAAACAGCGAGACATGAATCTATATCCAGGAAAGCTAGCGGAGTGAGAAGTCCATCAATGATCGTGGGCGCGTAGCTGTTCATGGGTTCACCTTCCACTGATCTCAAAAATAAGGGGGATTGTTACTGGCAAAATTTTAAAAACATCAGAAAATAGTTTTTAGTTTTAAGAAAAAACCCAGTGAAGCGGGGTTCGCTGTGAGAAAAATAAAAAAAGACAAACATGGCTGAAAACGTTGTGAAAACAGAATTTAGTTCGGTTTAACCGAGAACAGAATTTAGTTAATTTCGTTTCAAAGATTAAAAAAAAAAATTCGCCAACTCGATCGCGTATTAACTTTAATTTATGAACATTTCAAAATGTTTTTGCAAACGTCTAGGCTTAAAACAGTTGAAAGTGAAGTTTATGTACAATGTCTAACAAAAATCTACATTATATATTCCGGTGATTCAAAATTATATTTGTTAAAACAAGTATATAAATCTATCGATTCCGTTTCTCACTTTGTAGAAAAAATATAATAAAAGACCGTTGAGGCCGACTCACAGATGAAATCAAATGAAAGTGACAGAAAGAATTAGAGCAGTTTGCAGTTGTTTTTGCAAACGGGCACCGTGGGAATTTTGCCATTTGTCGTACTTCTTTTGTCAAATCAAAAGAACGAACGCGTGCTCCAGCCCGATTTCCGGTTCTGAAAGGCCCAATTCGCAGGCAAATAATGCGCGCAAAGTAGGCTGGTCATACTCACTGATGTTACTTCCGTGAGTCAAAAATGATGTTACTATGCATAGCTATCATTATCTTTGCCTCAGCAAACAAAATACATGGATATCCTCAAATACAGTATGATAGTTGGATTTTGTTTAACTTACATAGTTTTACAGTAATCGTCGCCTCAATGGTTTAATGAGGGGAACTACAGTATACAATTTGTCATGTACATGTACTTGTTCGATTTGAAAATGCGAGGGTTTGCTACATGCATGTATTTCTAGTTAATTACCTGAAGCTTCCTCGTCGGACGAAATACCGTGGTCCTGTGGAACGAAAAGCAAAATACACCGTCAATACTTGCACGTTAGTAACTCTTAGAGAAAATAGGTTGTATAAAATTATAAGCCTATTTTAAACATATTAACTGTTTTACGTAAACTAATTCTTATATGTATAAATAACTTTACATACATTTTGTAAAATACCATGCACGTACCTGTAGGTATACCTTGAATGTCAAGCGATCATTAAAAAAAAAGGAATTCCTGTTGTCCTATTTTATGATTTTTTTTGTTTTCTCTTCCTATCGAAGGTTTATATCACTAATAGGGTAATTTAATATCATCTAATGTGTTCCCACCATGACATACAATGTCAGATTGTTATGCGACAAGTTGAAGAATCATTGAAAACTCTCACCTCACACTCATCTTTTACCTCCTTCATAATCCTAAACAGGTAAAGCTTGATTTAAGAATATAATAATAAAAATATGGATGATATTTACAACAAATTTAATTTGGCTTTTAGTCTGGCTGATCACAAAGCATCACAATTGATTATTCAAAACAGCGTCACTATTGATGATGCGAATTCGATAGCTAGTAGTATATACATTTGATGGCTAGTAGTATATACATTCAATCGCTCCAAGGAACCAAATATAAGAATGCAGCATTTTCCCATAACTTACAGCAAATAGATTTTATACGGTCACTTACTTTTTGTATTTTGTGTCGAGATTCCCAGTTGAAAAGGAACTTTGATGTATTTGACGTTCATTCCAGCTGGAATATAACAGAACATACTCAAACAATTATTGAATGAAATGCCTTAATCTGCCAAGGAAATGTATATAATGAAACATTTCTCAATTCGTTCTCGAAATTACAAAAACAATACATGATGCACGTGTAAACGAAGGACCCACAAATAAAAAAAAGGTCACTATATTTCTTTCTGTCCTATATAATCAGCACGATAGAAACTGATGACATTCATAACTGGTACGAATATAGAGATTGTTAGTCCATCCTATGCCCTGACGCAATACGATATAGAGAGTGTGTTAGTCCATCCTCTGCCTAGCCTGCATGGCAGGCGGTTCCTAAAATTGGGCAAGCCTGGGAAATACCGCCTGCTGGGTTTGGCAGTGTAATCGAATTCCCCGTCCACCAGTGGACGGGATTTGATGATTGGCTGCGAGTCTGAGCCGCTGTCACTCAAAAGTGAATACACTTTAATATGTAAACATACGTTTGACACTTTAATGTGCATGCGTTCGCTTTAATTAATAGGTGTTGTAAAACTGAACGCTTCTCGTAAGTCGAAACGTGAACTGATTGTCAAACGCGAGCAAGAGATAGCAGTTAAAGATTTACTCCTTGGAAAGAATGTTTTGGCCATTCTATGGGAAAAGCTTGATTTTTACATTGTTTTTGTTGGCGCGAGAAAATATAACGAGAATAGATACACGGCCGTATAGTCTTTCTTGCAACGGGTTTTATAACAATAACAGGACTATTACGCCTAGGCCTATTAGCCGCTTCACTTTCTGAACTTTTTAAGGCTTTCGTTACCACACAGCTTCGTTAGGGAGATGAGACAGTTAATATT